AAATATTTTTTGTTTTAGATATATGGTCACACCAAAATCTTATTTTCATGGAAATGACGATATAAAATAAAATGAAAAAATCTTTATTTTTCGAATCTGAACATAAAATAGTTCATGTTAGCCAACAGCAATGGGGATGATTTTCATAAAACAAATTGATTTGCCGGCAAATAAATATATTCCATTGTTTCATCAATGTGAATTCCTTCACAATTTGTTAAAAAATTTCCTGTACAAAAATTGTATGCACTTTTATGTTATGATGACCCACACGAACTGCTGCGAAATGCTTTGCTTAAAAAAAAACTATGTTATGTCAATTCATGCATAATTCTAGCTGCTGTTATAGATGTCATATGTGTTGACATATGTGCGCGTGTGTCGCATCATGGGCAGAATGAAGTTTTATTGTTTTTTACAACTAAATACATATGTATGTATGTTCCTGTGCTGGCAAAGCATGATGAAATTGTATACAAATGCTGAACAGAGGAAAATTTAAAACTATTAGAAATGCAAGAATGTATGTATATAAATTAATTTTACACATACATTTTGTATGTGTGTATATTTTATCTTAAAAATCTGAATTAATCAGTATTAAAATTTTTAGTATAATTACTTAAATTACTTAAATCTAAGTTACTATGTAAAAACATAATTTGATTTACAATACTTGGATTTTTTCCCAGTACTGAACTCTTTTCTATTAATAAATATCGTACTTTTGAAAGAAAGTCTTTCCGATGGTGCTGAACTGGCTGGTATTGCTAGAACAGACGTATATATACAGTTAATCTCAAAAATAAGTATACAGAAATACTGACAATTGGTTTTATTTAAAAAAGGATATTATTTTTTCAAAAATCAAAAAAGTAACACATTTATTTATTAAAAACAATTATGATAACACAGTGATACAGCAAAAAAATGCAGGGGTTCTCATATACCAATTCCATTTCGTTATAGTCCATAGAGTAGGAATATATTTTTAATTTTTCCCGATCACTTCGTTTAGTTTAAGAGCAAAAGATGTGAAAAAGAGCTATTTTTGAAGTTTTAACTTTAAAAAAATATATTTATGGTATTCAAATTGGATATTTTGTTTTAAAGATACAAGTGTTGTCTTTCAACCCAAAGAAATAAATCCAAAATTTATGATTAATGTCTTGGTTACGGCCAACCAAGACCGTAACTCAGACATTTGACCATAAATTTCGGATTTCTTTTTTTGGATTAAAAGGCAACACTTGTATCATTAAAAAAATATCGGATTTGAAAATCGGATGAAAACTACTAAACTTATGATTTTTCAAATTTAAAACTTCAAAAATGGCTCTTTTTCGCATCTTTTGCTCTTAAAAAGTAAGTTAACGAAGTGATAGGGGAAAACTAAAAATATATTCGTACTCTATGGACTATAACGAAATAGAATTGGTATATGAGAACGCCTGCATTTTATTTTTCTTCACTTTTGTATCACAGTGTAATTATTATTCACTACTTTTTTTCTTCATATTTTGGTTCTTTGAGTTCTCATTTAAGCTGAAGTTAAGAAGGTGCAAAATTTACGTCACAAAAGTAAGTATACAGATCATTTCAATATATATTTGGTTTAATTATATTAACAAAATTTATGGAAATTTTACTTGTATTAATAAATAAAATATTTTTTACACATTTTAAAATATTTTTTACACAATAACTTGGAAAAAATCTACTTTTAGTTCCGAAATCTTGAAATTTGGGCCGATTGGCTCCGGAATTAATTAGTAGGACAGTTTTTTTCCCACTTCTACGATTTTTTTTCCACTTTAGACCCCGGATTTTGGATCTGGTGGTCATTGAACCCTCCAAATGATGCATTGGAAATAGAATTTTTAACTTTTGAAAAGAGTTGTTATTTAGAAATTAATGTTAAATACAGTGGCGAGCAAAACTGGATACATATCAATAAAGTGTATGTTAAAAACCCAATAAAATCCAGAAAATATTAAACAATAATTTTATATTGGTTTTAAAATATGCAATGGAAGAATAAGAAAATAAAACAATAGAAAATTCGTGAATATTGAAACTTTATCTCAAGTTTTAGCTAATTTTATTAAAAAAGTCTATGTATCCACTTTTGCACGTTTAAATTTAATTAATCTAGCAACACAAGTAAATTTAAAAATAACAATGAATTTGAGTACTGCTACTTAATTTACCTTTGAAGAAAGCATCAAAACAAACAGTTACCATTTTTGAGTCATATTTGTAATTTTTTTGCAAATATTTTAATTTTCTAGTTTTAATTAGAAAAATATCAAGTTTATTGGGAAACCAAATGGTCGAAATGACAAAAAATAATTACTGTGCTCGTCAAATTGCCAAGAAGTTAGGAATTTGCCACCGAAGAGTGCTACAAGTGCGAAAAAGAAAAATATGAGCACACCAGTAGTTAAGAAATGTCGATCGTGTTTGCTTTCGGAGAGAGATGCCAGAACTATGGAGCGTTTATTGACATCCAAACAGGTAAAAATACAAAAAACAGGCTATAGTCGCCATAAATAAGTCCTTAAGTGAATGGGCAGTCCGGGGAGCTCTTCGTAGAATTGGCCTTATATCAGCCGTAAAGCAGAAAACACCAGCGTTATCAGAAAAAAATGTGAAGGATCGTCTTAAATTTAGCAAGAACCACAAAAATTGGAGTGTTGATGACTGGAAAAGGGTTATATGGTCCGATGAAACAAAAGCTATACTGATGGCAAGGAATATTACTGGCACCGCCCTTATGAAAGCTCAAAAAAGCACCAAGTAAAACAAAAGAGTGAAACAAGCGGGTGGTAGTCTGATTGTGTGGGCTTGTTTCACTTGGTAGAATCTCGGTTCTTTAGTAAAATTAGATGCTATAATGAAAAAGGAGGATTATTTGAGCATTTTCAATCCAATATTCCAGATTTTGTGGAAGAATGTGCATATCCAGAGTCAGAGGTTATACTTCAACAGGATGGGGATCCGAAGCATACGGCAAAAATCGTAAAGAATTGGCTTTCAGCGCAGAATTTTCAAACGATGCAATAGCCAACTCAATGCCCGGAAATCAATCCAATTGAAAATTTATGGGCTTTGTTAAAAAAACGTCTTGTGCAATTCGATAATGCACCAAGAAATCTTAAAGAACTTTAGTCGAGAGTACAAACGGAGTGGTCTAGTATTCCGCACCGGACCATTGAGACCTTGGTCAAAAGTACGCCTAAACGTATAAAAAGTGTCATAAAAGCAAAAGGACTTTGCACAAAATATTAAAAATCAAAATTTTTTTAAAACGTGCAAAACTGGATACTTCGACTTTATTTATAAATATGTTTTAATTTTTAGATTAATATTTAATTATCATGAATTTAATTTCGTTTTCTTTTTATATTGCTTTACTGAATATTTAAAATTGAAAACTTTATTATTTATCCTTTATTTTATGGGTTTTATAGCATTTTTAAGTCTTATTAGCTAAACATGTATCCAGTTTTGCTCGCCACTGTATATATAATGTTGAACAGAGTACGTTCTTAAAAAACCGAAATTTAACTCCGATTTCTTAAGACTTACAACATAAACTTTAAAATTTGGATAATTCTATACATTTCCTTTAATTTAAACAGGTTTTCCAAATACTCCGATTTCCAAAGCATACAATAATGCTACCAATCATATCTTGATATACTTGATACAATAACCATGTTTTATGGATCGGACATTTTATTTGTTCTAGCAACAAATTAAGATGTATCTGTGTTCAAAATTGTTCAATTCGTATTCATACCACCAATTGAGCCTGATTTAATATAAAAATCTTACTATTTTGGACAATAATCAATTTCAGAACCGATATGTAGTGTAAGTTATTGACATGGTCACCATTTGACGATTATTGGTAGTATTTAGAAGTGTGTAATGGATGATTAGAACCGAAAAACTTGTTTTAATTAATGGATACTAGTACAAATATTATTAATATCGCAATTTAAGATATAAATTTCAGGAAATCGTCGTTAAATATCGAATATGAACGCTATACTATGTTAAAAACGGCAATGTTCCGCAATGGATTGCAATTATTGTACAGAAACAATTAATTTAAAAGTTAAAATATCGTCTTCCAATGCATCATAATGAACAAACGAGGGATATTATTGAATACCCGATCCAAAACTCCGGGGGTTTAAATAGTCAGATGTTCTTAAATAGGAAAAAATGCTCCTATAAATAATATTCAGATCAATTACCAAAAATTTAAATTTTTCGGAACAAAAAGTGAATTTTTTCCATGTTTTAGTGTACAGAATATTTTATTATAAAATAATTACATTCAAACGGTAAAATTTTCATGAATTTTGTTAATATCATTAAGCATTTGGCTTATATATTATATTAAAATTATCTGTATACTTATTTTTGTGACGTAAATTTTGCACCTTCTTAACTTCAGCTTAAATGAGAACTCAAAGAACCAAAATATGAAGAAAAAAAGTAGTGAATAATAATTATCATAATTGTTTTTAATAAATAAATGTGTTACTTTTTTGATTTTTGAAAAAATAATATCCTTTTTTAAATAAAACCAATTGTCAGTATTTCTGTATACTTATTTTTGAGATTAACTGTATATATGTATAATAACCCAGCAAAAAAGAACTTCCAAAAAAGCAAATAAGAAGTAGAATTTACTCCATGGAAGTACTGAAAAAGACCTGAAGAAGTGATGATTTTAACACAGGCTTGTCAACAAAAGAATATCTTCAGCATTGAAAAAATATAATTATTATCGCTTCTACGGAAGTCATAAACATCACTTCCACAGAAGGTAAAAAATTCCTTAATTGCTACTTTTGAAGTGGTGATAAATGTTATTTTTTTTTTTTTATTTTTTTTCTGGGAAAGGGTATTCTTTTTTGTATTCCTTCCACAATTCTAATTGGTCGAATTCCTTCTAATACAAGATCGTCTGGCTTTCATACCTTATGATTTCATTCTGTATCTCATCATCACAATTGGGATCAACAGCAACTTGAACAAAATCATTAAAAGCATCATCTGTGTTTGTAGGCTCCATTATATCATTTGAGATAGATGCAGTATTTTCGTACATTTTTAGCATTTCTTTACAGCTTTTGTGAATGTTTTTATAATTTAATTACTTATATCTTAGGGCCATTAAGTTCTTTAAATTTTTTCTTTCTTCTTCCAACCAATTATAGAGCTATTGAAGCCTATAAAAACATAAGAAATTTAAAAGTTATATGTATAAATATATATTCCTAATTTTTCATCTCTTTAAAACGTGCGACCCTCACGTTCATCACGATGGAAATTCCCATATTCAAATATTTTAACAAATAAAAACTATTCCCCGACAGCTGAATTATTCGGCCAAGGGCTGTCAACCTCAGCAACAACAATACAATTTTCTCCAGCTGAGCAACACCTTCCTTTTGGTCCGTGCCGGAATTGAATTAAATCCCGGGCCATGGTTCTGCACTGTTTGCCAGAACCGACTGCACCATATATCCACCCAATTAAGGTGCAACTCTTGTTTGGGCTGGGGTCATCTCAGGAACTGCTACGGACTTAACCATCATCGAGAGTGGTGTGAAAATTTCGTCGCTGTTTACAACAACGGCAAGATTTATCAGCGTCATCTTCTTACGCTACTCTTGTTTGGGCTGGTGTCATCTCAGGAACTGCTCCGGACTTAACCATCATCGAGAGTGGTCTAAAAATTTCGTCGCTGCTTACAACAACGGCGAGATTCATCAGCGTCATCGTCATCTTACTACGCTACACCTCCGCCTTCAGCTCTGGCACTCTTGCTAAGGAGAAGAGCAGAGAGGTGCGTTGCTGGCGGAACAGATTGACGAGTCCACCTTCTGCGCCGTGCACCCCACACGGATTATGGGTACCTGCGCTAGCTCGACCGATATCACCATATCAAGTGCTGGTCTAATCAACTCTGGGATCATACCACTTACCCATAATCGTTTGTCTGGATCGACCTAACGATTTTATCGTCTCTGAACGTCCTCAATACGTAAACCAAAAGAAAGCAGACTGGCACGGATTCAGAGAATTCTCCGAACGCATCTTCTGTGATCTAAATTTTCCCTCCAATGTCCAGCATGCAGAGAGGAAGTTCTGTGAAACCGTCATCTCCGCAGCTGCTCGAATTATACCTGCTGGTCGAATATCCGTAGTGCGGCCGCACTACAGAAGCAGCCAGGCTTGCAGATGAAAGAGATGACATCCGAAATACCAACCCAGGTGATCCTAGGCTCGCCCAGCTGAACCTTGAAATCAGCAGGTTGGTAAATGAGGAAAAGCGGAAAATATTGCTAGATCACTTGAAGAACTGCAACTTGAGTTCGGGTGTTAGTAAGTTGTGGTCTAAAGTTCGATCTCTCTCCAACCCGACGAAGAAGGATGACAGGGTTTGCAGACATCCACATTTCCGACCCTAAAGGGTGCTCGCGCGCATTCTGCCGGCAATTCATTGAGTACCCAGAGAATGACAAGGCGAAACGAAGCGTTGTTCGCAAACTTCGCAACCTTCCAGTCACAGACATACCACAGCCCTTCACCCCAGCTGAAGTTGCAGACATCATTAACAACGCCAAACCATCTAAGGCGATTGGCCCTGACGGAATATCCATGCTGATGTTAAAATACCTTGGCGAGCGGGGAGTTGAATACCTGACTATGGTTTTCAACAAGTCAGTGAGTAGCCTCGTAATAACCGAAGCCTGGAAAAAGGATAGAGTCATTCCCATTTTAAAACTTGGGAAAGACGCTACGGAGGGACAATCATACAGGTCGATATCCCTTCTATCACCAGTCGCGAAGACTCTAGAGGTGCTTCTCATCCCCCAGCTGTCCAGCCACCTAACAGCAGCTCGTCACCATAATGGATTCCGCAAAATGCACAGCACCACCATGTTACACATAACCACCCTAATGTTACTAATAAGTTATATATGACAACACTGTAACCAATATTTTAGTAGTAACTATATATTTAAGATCACTAATGTACATCCTTTTTGATAATTAATAAATGTGCTTTTGAAGACAAAACAGACGTATATAATATGGTGTCAGTACCGAAATTCAGTAACTTTTTAACTACAAAAATTTGTCGTTAAATAGTAAAAATTCGTAAGTTAACAATAATTGTAGTTATGTGGTATTCTGAATTTTATTTCAACGATTTTTTCGTTAAACATAATCATTAGTTAACGAAAAGTATCGACAAATAAAAAGTTCATGTTAATAATTTTATATTTTAAAAATATTTCAATACAAAACTTTTGACATTCTCATATTTTTCCGATCTTTGTCGTTAAAATATTCTAAAGTCGTTAAAAAGTTATAGAATTGCAATTTCGTTAATGCAACCGATAATTGTCGTTACTTTACGATATCGGTAGTTAAAATTAAAAAAATACAGAATTACCGCGATTCAGTAACATTTTAACTACAAAAATTTGTCGTTAAATAGTAAAAATTTGTAAGTTAACAATAATTGTCGTTATGTGGTATTCTGAATTTTATTTCAATGATTTTTTTCATTAAACATAATCATTAGTTAACGAAAAGTATCGGCAATGTAACGACAAATAGAAAGTTCACGTTAATAATTTTATATTTTAAAAATATTTTAATACAAAAATTTTGACATTCTCAAATTTTTCCGATCTTTGTGGTTAAAATATTCTAAAGTTGTTAAAAAGTTAGAGAATTGCAAATTCGTTAATGCAACCGATATTTCTCGTTACTTTACGATATAGGTAGTTAAAATTAAAAAAATACAGAATTGCGGTACAGGTGTTGTTAAGTAGAAAAAAATAAAACTTTTAAAATAAAATAAACAATTTAAAACAAAATTGTGTCGAAAGTTTCAAAAACAAAATACATTCTGTCGTTTGGCTTTTTTAATAAAACAAATTAAAACAATAATATTTGTATAAGATGCCGTACAACGTGCCAGCGGCACTCCACGTGGACGTGGAGTGGAAAAATTGGAGGAAACAATTTAAGATCTACTTATTGGCTTCTAATTTAGATTTTGCGGTCCCACATTGTGCAACCGCAGTGCCTCGAGATTTTCAATTCATTTGATGAGGAGAGCGACACTATTAAATATGAGAACTTACTAAAAAGGTTTGAACTACATTTTATACCGAAGGTAAATTTTGCCATGGAACGACATACGTCAATAGTTTAGTATGCAACTGCCTTGGAAAATCTAAGTAACACCTGTGGTTACGGCACACTAAGACAAAGTCTTGTCAAAGATATTTTTATTTGTGGCCGATAGTTACAAAAATGTAAAAGAAAGATTATTGAGTGAAGGCTCAATAGAATGGCCAAGAGCTTTGGAAATTGCCAAGAGTATGGAAATGGCAAAAGAAAATATGGCCAGCATACATGGTGAAAAAACAGAAGACTCGATGGTAGCAGCTCTACACATAGAAAAAAACAACACGTATCAAAAAAACAACAGCATAAACCAATACAACAATATGATAATTCGGTGTTATGTAAAAAGTGTGGTCAAACTCACAAAAATAAATGTCCAGCAGAGGGCGCAGTTGTCATGCATGCGGAAAAGCAAACCATTATGCAAAAATGTGTTTTCTAAAATCCAGTGGTAAAAAGCAACAACCAAAGAAGTTTGTCAAAAAGATAGGTGAAAATGAAAACTCGGATGAAGAAAATCTTTTTGTGGGATCTCTTAATGAAGTAATCACCAACGAGGGGATAAACAACAACAACAAACAAATGACAACATATGGAATGTCAACAACGGTGTAAATGGTAAAAACCTAGTTTGCCAGGCGGATACCGGACCTCAGACGAACTTGATGTCCATCAACACTGTCAACAATTTGGATATTCGTAAGGTGGATTATAAGGTATATAATAATATATTTACTTTTAGTTGTAAAAGGATACCAGTTGGCGGAAAAATTTTCACGGAATTTTCTTTTAATAAAATAGTTTATGAAACTTATACCCATATTCTATAATTTTTCGTTCATTCTGTAAATGTACAGAAACAAAAGCGTTAACATGAACATTTTGTATTCTATAATAATAACATTTTAAAAATTGGTTTGTGAATTTGATAAACAATTCAAAATTACCAGATGCACAATTTTTTTAAGTTTTGAAAAATTAAAAAAAAAAAAATTCGAAATTTAAAAAATAATATATTTTCAATTTTCTTTCATACGGTAACAAACATTGTTTGTCAAAATTATTTTGTTTCTTTTTAGTACTTTTTAAAAAAAATAAAGAAAATTTATAGTTTTTTTGTCCCAAACGGATGTCAAAGTTGTTCGTGTAATATTTTAGGATTCCAGTTCTCAAAATTCTGTTCTTCAATGTTTAAAAAAATTGTACATACAAAATTTGAAGACTCTTGCAGTTGAAGTTTCTGAGATATGCGACTTTTATGACGGCCTGGCATTTCGAAATAAAAAGTATTCCTTCTAGACCTACAGGAAGACATTTTGAAAATTTCAAGAAAATAAGTCCAGCCTTTTTATACATTTTTACCCCTAAACGTTCGAATTTCCAAATATCCCTCCTAAAATACAACTACGGTCAAAATTTCATTATTCTTGGTTCAGACGTTTGGGCTGTAAGATGATGAATCATTCAGTAATGCTACTCTTTTATAATGTACCTTTATATACTTAGATGATTAGAAATATGAATAAATGATGTCTGTTGTTCATGTGAATAACGGATTTCGCAAAAAACACAAAAACAACTTCTTACTTGTAATTTAAAAAAATGTTGAAACGACAATCACTACAAAAAACCTACCGTTGAAATTGACATTTAATTTCGTTACTAACAGAGCACTTTTATGTTAAAAAACTTAACATTTTACACAAAATGTTTAGAGAATACAAAAATTGAAAAATTCGTGTTAACGACGTTAACAGAACGAACGTTTAAGTTATAGAATAAGGGTATTATTTTTATATTGTAAACATGAAGTGTAACAATATTATAGGTTTAGAAATGGCCTCGAAAATGAATTTAATC